AAATCCGCGCACACGAGCAAATTTTCCAGCAGTGTAAAGTGAAAAGAAGCAAATGGAAAGCGAAATGGATGAAACTCCACAGGGAGGAGAAATGATGAATATCTGAGGGAAATCTCGATGGGATGCCCTGAAAGTTGTACATTCTCCATCTCTCTCTCTCTCTCTCCCTTTCTCTCTCTCTTTGTCCCTCTAGAACAATACATATTTGACAATTGGAGAATATCTCCCAAATTCCCAGCAGCGTTACATTCTTTCTCCTGCGTGTATTTTTGATCAGGCACACAGAGTGAAAACAAATAATGAACCCACAATTTTGTGGCACTTTCTTGGAAAGTCGCCAGTTTTTTTTCTTGGCGCGCGCGCGATCCGTGACCTATAAGAACTAGTGTTGACTTTGTCTGCCGCCTATTGATGGAAATGGTAAGATTTTCCAGCATTCCAAAGGGCAAAAGGAGAAGATTTCTATTGGATGATAAATTTTGTATTTATCAAGGGGGAAATAAGACGGCTAAACACTTCCACAACACTTCCAGACACTTCTTAGCGCCACTTAAAAATGCATTTTCCAATGTTTAATCTTTGGAAAATGCTTGAAAAGAACCTTTTTGAACTAATTTCAACCCTTTTCAAACCTTTTTACAATGTTTCTACTGAATAATAATGTATAAATCGCATAAATGACCGAGAAAAGAGGTTAAAATAACATTTTTGAGGTTATGTTTGACTTTAAAGCTGCTTTTTTACTCACGAAATTGAACAAATTTGAAGCTTTTTTCATCATAAATGCTCAACTGTGTCAAGAAAATGGCTGAAAATGCTTCCAAAACATCCTAATCAAATTGTGAGGTTATGAATTTTGCCTAAAAATATGTTTTAAGCCTGGAAATGACTAAAAATGGCGAATTTCACAATGTTTCCACTAAATTCTGAGGTTCAATTTGCCATTTTAAAGCACGAATTGCAAAAAAAAAACAAGAAAAGAGAATTTTCTGAGACATTTTTGAGGTTATGATTGACTTTTAAGCTGTTTTCTAACCTAATCTTAAGTTTTTTCGAACGCAAATGCTTAATTTTGCCAAGAAAAGAGAAAAATTCTCAGTTTAAACACAAATTAGATGATTTTAAAGGTTATTTTATCACATAACCTATAAAAAAGCGTAAAATATTCAATTTTCTAGGCCAAATTATTAAAAAAAAGCCTAATTTGTTGAAAAGGAAGTTTTTGCAAGTGCAAATATTCTTGTACAATAAAAAGAGACATTTTTTTGCAATTCAAGTGATATTTTTTAGGTTATGTTTGACTTTAGGCTTTTTATCAATCAAAATGAAGTTTTTTCGCACAAAAATGCTCAAATCTGCCAAGAAAGAGAAATTTGATAATTAGACTGTTTTAAAATTTAACATAACCTCAAAAAAGGCGATAAAATTGATTTTTAAGCAAAATATTTATGAAAATGCTTCAATTTGGTTGAAATTGAAGCTTTTTCTACTGTAAAACCTCCCACCATAATATCTGCTATTGAGCAGCTTCAATTCAAAAATGCTGTTCCAACTTTAGGATTTTTTCTTGAAAAATCGGCTGAATATATTGAAATAATCACAACGCTCAAATAAACTCTCGTCTATTGAGCTTCAGAAAATGCCTTTCATTGGGCATTAAAACTGATCCTTTTTCCTCTAAAGGAGAATGAAAATAATATTGTAATTTATCTGAAACTGCCCCGCACGGGGATGTTTCGGATTGCTCTGGGGCAGTTTCAGATTTTCACTGATATTTACCATAAATTCCATTGTGGAATTGTAGAATCGCGGGCAAATGATCACTTTGGTTTCTAATCTACGCACTGAAACTGTTTATTTCGCTAAAAATCGCCTTTAAAGTAATATTTTCGCGACTTTTCTGGACCCTTGCACGGACTGTCAAAATGTCTGAGCGAAAAGCAAGTTGCCCGTCATTTTTCCTGTATCGCAACGCCACCATGCGTGAGTGGTGGCAACTTCAGTGCCACCACAAATCAAATCAGTGCAAATCAGTGTTTTTCGCGTGTATTTTCTCACTTTTCCACTAAGAAGTCGTTTAACGTGATGAAGCAATGCAGCACAGAACGGCACTTTGTGAAAAATCTTCAATATTTGCCACAAGAAAATTTCGACCGTGATGTTGCGTCATTCTGTCAGAGCGCGCTGTTGTCAGTCCGTGGCGATCCGAAACTGCCCCGTGGGCAGTGTTTGTGCATTTTCCACCACCCACTGAAAAGGCCGTGCCAAGGAGGAAAAGTTCGGGCATATTTAGAATCTCTACTTAACTCTCAATAACCTTTGATTGTGTTTCACGCGAATTGTGGCTTTTTTAATGGAGAAAACACGCAATCAATTCGGCAGCAAAATTCTAGTTTGTGAGTGATTTTCAATTTTCACTTATTTTATCTAAACAGTCAAGGCTATCCTGTGCAAATTTTCGTCAATTGTAGTCCTTAAGGACTACAAACATTGTGTGAAGACCAGGAATTTATTCATGCAAAAATCTCTGAGAAAATTAAGAAATCTGAAGCTGCCCCAATCTGAAGCTGCCCCATTTACCCCTATCTGCCCCTTGGAATTCTCGATACAGTGAATTTTTGCAGAGATTGTGCTGAAGAAAAGCGTCTTTCTCCGCAGTGCACTCGGGAATGAAGTGAAGGAAGTGAGTGAAGATGCTTCGCAATTGCGGCTGCTTCCGGCGGACGCGCCGCAGCTTGAGCTTCGAGGACTCGTCTTCCTGTCGCTCCTCGGAAATCGAACGCGCCGGCCAGCTCACGCCCACCAACGGCAGCCTGCTGAAGATCTTCACGTCGAAAGGATGGTGCGGCCAGTGGCGGAAGCCCAGCCGCGGCATGAGCATGTCGAAGATTGAACGAAGTGAGTGTCCTTTCGTCCTGTTCTCACAATCCGTCCTGGAATGGACGAATCATTCCTCAGACGGAATTTTTTTGGAGAATATCCAGGAAAATTTTCAATCTTTTCTTGATTTTTATTCAAAATTTTTATTATTTCATGCAAATTTCAATCATTTTTCATTATTTTCTGAATATTTAATTGAAATTTGATTATTTTATACAAAATTTTGTAATTTTTTTCTATTTTTATTAAAAAATTTTAATTTTTGATGCAAATTTCAATAATTTTTGATTATTTTCTGAATAATAAATTAAATTTTGGTAATTTTATACTAAAATTTTCAAAGTTTTTCGATTTTTTCCTAATTTTTATTAAAATTTAAAGTATTTAATAGAATTTTTTTTAATAATTTTTGATTATTTTATACAAAAATTTTGATAATTTTTTGGTTTTTATGCAAATTTTTTAATTTTTGATGTAAATTTCAATAATTTTTCATTATTTTCTGAACACAAAATCAAATTTTGATTATTTTATACAAATTTTTTGATTTTTTCGTGGTTTTTCATTCAAATTTCTAATATTTCATGCAAATTTCAATAATTTTTGAATATTTCCTGAATATTCAATCGAAATTTGTTTATTTTGTACGAAATTTTTTTTGAAAATCATTGATTATTTCGTGGTTTTTTGTACAAATTTTGAATATTCCAAACGAATTTCATTAATTTCTTAATTATTTTCTGAATATTTACTCAAAATTTTATTATTTTGCAATTTTACTTTTATTTTCTGTTTATTTTTATTCAAAGTTTGATTATTTTGCCATTTAAACTTCACGTTCGAATAAGGAATTGAGGGAATATTTTGTAATTGTTTCGAAGAATATTCCATGGAATAGATGGAATAGATTGGAATGTGTAAGGAAATCGAAAGAATGGAAATCAACTTGAGTAAACCTCGGATCAGTCTCGAGGCTCACCAAGAAGTGTGACGTTGAAGGGCGGAAGAAAATTCTCTCTAATATGAATATTGAATATAAAACATATTTTACACGTGAAAAACATGTCGAAGAACGTCGTAATTTCCACAGACTTTCACATTTACGGCACGTTTTTCTCGTGTGCAAAGTTCCTTCCTTGAATTTTGCACGATTCCACATTATTTATTTATGATAATCGCCAGATAACTTCGCCGTGCGACGCCCAAGGGGCGAATAAACAGGGTGACTTTTGAGGAAACTTTTAATGTTGTCTAATCAAATAATCAATATTATTTGAGTGAAATAATAAAAAAAATATGATTATTTTCCCAAGTAAAATTGAAAAAATATTTAATTTTGAAAAAAATAATTTAAAAAAATTTAACAAAATTATTTTTTTCCTAATTAAAATTGAAAAATATAAAAAAATATGATTATTTTCCAAGTAAAATTGAAAAATTATTTAATTTTGAAAAAAATGTTTTTTTTTTCCTAATTAAAATTGAAAAATAATCAAAATAATCAAATTCTGAATTTAATAATTAGATAAAAGATTATTTTCTCAACTAGAATTGAAAAAAAAAATCTAATTTTGAATAAATAATCAAAAAAAGATTATTTTCCCAAATGAAATTACAAAAAATCAAAATAATCAAATTCTGAATGAAATAGTCAAAAAATTAATATTTTCACAAAATAAAATTGAAAAATAATCAAAATAATCAAATTCTGAATGAAATATTAAAAAAAAGGTTATTTTTCAAAGAAAATTTGAAAATATTCAAATTCTGAATTTAGATAAACAAAAACAAAATTATTTTTAATCAATTAATTCACAATTATTTAATTATATTCAAATTTTGGTTAAATATTTAGAAAATAATCCAAAAATATTCAGAATTTATGTGAAAAAATCAAATTTTGAATAAAATATTCAGAAAAATATTTTTAAAATCATCAAATTTTAATTAAATAATAAGAGAATAATTTTTTAAAAAATCAGAATTTGTATAAAATAAACATTTTGTATTAAATATCTAGAAAATATTCAGAATTTGAATAAAAATCTCGAAATAATCGAAGAAAAGATTGAATAATTACTGAGTTAATGGTCTCAAATCGCGAGTAATTGTCCCCTTGGCGACGCCAGAATTGGGGATGGGGTGGGGGTGGAGACCGCCCGCGGTGGTGGAACTCTATGATGGCTCTTAAGATGGGCAGCTGTCGCCAATTATGGCGCTGTCTCAATAAATCAAAACACCATTAAATATTTGCTGAGCCACCTGGAGAGCGAGAAGGGATCGATTAGTCTGCAAGTCCGCACTCTAATTAACACGCGTCTCGCAGTTGGCCATGGATTTCCCCAAGGGGAGATATTATGGCCGAAAGTGGTGTACAGATTGAGAGGAAGTGTTAAGAAGTGAAAAAGCTTCAATTTCAACCAAATTGAGGCATTTTCCCACTAAATTTCGCTTAAAAACCAATTTTATCGCCTTATTTGAGGTTATATTATTGATTTAAAACACTTTCTGGCGCTTAAAAAACCCTCAAAATTGTCAAATTTGTACTAAAGCTTAGGAATTTTTCTCTTTTCCCTTGATTTGTGTTCAAAATAATTCAATATTCGTTGAGAAAATGCTTTGAAGTTCAATCATAACCTCAAAAATTATGTTTTTTCCGCAGTTTTTGCTTTAAAAGTGACAAATTCAACCAGAATTTCTTGTAGAAACTTTTTGATTTTGGCTTTTTTCACTCATTTTCAGATTAAAAAGGATTAAAAATCAATTTTATCGTTTTTTTGAGGTTATGTTTATTGAAAAACAGATTAAATTGTCAAAATTTTCTGTTTCTTGGCAGATTTGAGCATTTTTGTGCAAAAAAACTTTATATTGATTGAGAAAAAGCCTAAAAGTCAAACATAACCTCAAAAATATCATATAAATTGTAGAAAAATGTGTTTTTGCTTAGGTTATTTTCACGGTTTTCCCTATACAAAATTTTTTTTAATGTAAAAGCTTCCGTTTAAACCAAAATGAAACATTTTCTTAATTATTTTAACTAGAAAAATCAATTTCAGCGCTTTTTTTTTAGGTTATGTTATTGATTAAAAACAGATTAAATTATCAAATTTTGAAATTGAAACAAATCAGTTAAGTTTTTATGTGATATTTCTGTAAAAAATCCACTTAAACAACTTTTTTCAGCGTCTTTTCCAAACATAACCTCAAAAATACCATTAAATCATCAATTGAAAGGCTTTTAGATAATAAATTTATCTTTTATGATTTGGAAATGAACTCAAAATTGCTGATTCAGAAGTCAAAATCATCGAAAATGTATTTGAAAGAAACATTTTCCAAGCACAAATGACTATTTTTGAGGTTATGTTCGATCTTAGTACAATTTTTAGTGTTTCTTTAGCATCAAAAGTTCAGAATATCAATGAAAATCACATGAAAATACTTGAATCTGTCAAGAAAACGGAGAAATTTGATAATTTAATCTGTTTTTCATTAAACATAACCTCAAAAAAGCGTTAAAATTGATTTTTAAGCAAAATTAGTGGAAAAATGCCTCAATTTGGTTGAATGGAGCTTTTTCAGTGCAAACTTCTGGACTATATTATCCCCCCTTGGAAAAAGCTAATCAATGGAACATTTAATGATATTTACCTGTGAGAGCAAATGAATTTTCCCGGATAATTCACGATACTGAATCCTCCCTTAAATTCTATGACAAAATTCTATTGGTCATTCACACGCAATTGAACACTTTTGGGGATTGCGTTGAGTGCACGTGAAATATTGAGTAAAAGGTCTTAATTACCTTTCTTCTTTTCTAACACTCCCACAAACCATCGCTTGTGGAATTGATGCGGAGAAAGCGAGAGCTTTGAGGCGAAAAAGAATTGAATTATGAGAGATGAGTGAAGCTGATTTCACTGACCTTTCAGCCACTATCTCATGATGACCCCAAGAAGGATGATGGGCTTTTCCCCAAGGGGGAGATAATACAGTCCAGAAGTGGTGTATAAGTTCAGCAGAAGTACTTAAGAAGTCAAAGTGTTTCAATATCATCAAGATGAGTGCGTTTAAAAGTGACTTTTGCATCAAAATAATGTAATGATTTGAGAAAAAGAATTATTCTTTGTATTTCTTCTAGGTTATGTTGTGAATTCAAGACAAACTTTACCACTAAATAACCTTAAAAATCATTAATTATTGGACGAAAGTTGATAAATTCTTCATTTTATGGCACAATAGCAATGAAATCTGTTGAAAATTACAAGTTTTCAATGTTAAACTGGTGTTAATTATGCCAAAAATTGATCATAACCTCTAAAATACAGTTTCAAAATATCAAGAGCTATTTGATTGATTTTCTACTCTTAAATAGCAAATTTAACATTCCAAATAAGCTTTTTTTTTTAAGATTCTTCTAAATATCTTAAGATAATTTCTAGGTTATGTTTCAAATTGCACCCAAAAGAGCGATTTAAAAGTGAAAATCATCAAATTATCAACTAGAAACATCAAATACTTCTAAAATACTGTTTCTTCGTAAGTTTTCTAAAGTCATACAAGTAAAAAATGGCGTCTTTTTTTTAGGAGAAAAAGTCTTAAATTTGAGGTTATGATTGTTTTGATGGTGGAAAAAATTTGTAAAATTTCACAAAAAAGGGAGAAGAAAATAAGGAAAATGTGTGTTTTCAATACTGCAGAAATTGTTAAGGTGCCAAGAAAAGTTGTACAACTGTTTAGCCATATTATTTCCCCCTTTGTCAAGGACATATTTAGTGAATAAATCGCATTCTAGCACATCAATTCTTATGTTCTAGTCAGAAAAATCACTAGTTAGTGCTTTTGACAGTGCTTTTTTTGAACTTCTGATGCCAAGAAACACTGAAATTAGTACTAAAATTGAACATAACCTCAAAAATTGTCATTAAAACTTCGAAAATGTCCATTTAGACAACTTTTTCGGCAATTTTGACTAAGAATCAGCCATTTTAAGATCATTGACAAGTCATAAGAGATGA